AGGACATGCACAAAGTAGAGTATAAGGAGAGAGAACTCAGAATACAAAGAGGGGAGTGCTAGGAGAGAAAAGAAAATGAGCAGTAAACCCATAAGAACAAAGGGGATTGATTAAGTGACTACGGTTATATCTAGATCCCTAAACCTAGGAGATTATAATAGATCATAAACTGAGTATGAGCCAACAATGTGCTCTTGTTGCAAAAAAAGCCAACACCATACTGAATTATATTAACAGGAGTATCACTTGCAAATCAAGGGAAGTAATTCTTCTACTCAACTCAGCACTGACGAGGCCTCACCTGGAGTACTGCATCCAGTTTTTGGCCCAACACTTCAAGAAGGATGTGGACAGTTTGGAAAGAGACCAGCACAGAGCAACAAAATGATTAGAGGCCTGGGAGGCAAGACCTATGAGGAAGGCCTGAAAGAACTAGGGTTATTTAATCTGGAGAAGAGCAGACTGAGGGGGAATTTAATAACAGTCTTCAAATAGCTGAAGGGTGATTACAAAGAGTATGGGTTTTTTTCCAGGACTGTAGGGGCAGGACAAGGAACCACGTAGGAGATGTGGAAGAATTTTCTATGAGGGTGGTCAAGTACTGGAAGAGGCTAAAGAGAGAAACTGTGGAATCATGAACGACACATGCCACTGGCGGCTCGGAGGGCACGGCGGCGCTGAAGACAGCAGGAGCGCAGCGGCGGTAAGTGGGTAGCTCCCGCAGACGCCACCAGTGCAGTCAGTGGCGGGCGGGGAGGGGGCTGGTGAGCACTGACCAGGGGTCTGCAACCACCCACAGACGCCGCCCGCAGTGTTAGCGGTGGCCAGCGGCAATTGCTGACCGCCAGCAGTGTCGGTGGTGGCGGTGGTGAGCGGTGACTGCCCGCAGGCACTGCTGACAATGTTGGCAGCACCTTTTCATAGGGGGCGAACCGCCACACTCAGGGGGTGCATGTGCACCTGCGTGCACCCCCTACGCGTCGCCACTGTGTGGAATCTCCATCTTTGGAAGTTTTCAAGAGGAGGTTAGACAGATACTTGCCTGGGATGATTTAGTTAGGGATGATTCTGCCTTGAGCAGGAGGCTGCACTAGATGACCTTCTGAGGTCCCTTCCAGCCCTGCTTTCCTAAGATTCCTGTAATCTGTCTAAGCTGTGCTTGGCACAGTACTGGAGTTGTAAAGGAGACCACAGGTGAGTATATGCTACCTTTATGCACCCTGACTAGGCATGTTATCCTCAGCACAAGTCAAAGCAATGGCAGTATTGGCCATTAGGGGTGCTGTCCTAGCAGCTGTGACTTACTGGATGGTAGTAGCACTACAGCTACATACATTTCCCCCACCCTGTCCTTTTTACACATAGGGTCAGGAAGTTATAGATCCATGGGAAAATCTCAGGTAGGCAGCTAAACTGGCAACTAGCACAAGGTATCCATGATACTTGAGGGGGAACAAGGATTTAGCTCATAGCAGATAAATCTACAAAGATTTCTAGTTTAAGCCATCTTTCATTGTGCCTTGTCACCATTACTCTATGTCCTTGGTGCTCAACCTGTCCAGCCATGTGGGCCACATGAGTGGCACAGAACTGGTCTGTAGGACAGATCCAGTCCAGGATTGGCAAGTGGAGTCAGTCTGTCAGTATGCTGGCATGATCTAGTGTGCAGGCCCATGTCATCTGGCCTGCAGGATTCCCCACAGATCCAAAAATTTGGTAGCATGGGAGCAGCAATTAATGCTGCCAACACTACCCTGTCACTAAATTTCTGGCTCTGTAGAAAGACCTCAGAAACCACAGAAAAAAAAGAAAAAAACTCAGCCTTTTCAACACTACTTAACACTCCTATTATGCTGGAGGGGAGGGCTAGGATTCAGAGACCTCAACAAATTGGAGTTCTGGACCAAAAGAAATCTCATGAGGTTCAATAAGGAGAAGTGCATAGTCCTGCACATAGGACAAAACAATCCCATGTACCGGTTCAGGCTGGGGACCAGCTGGATGAGCAGCAGCTCTGCAGAGAAGGACCTGGGGGTTACAGTGGACAATAAGCTGAATATGAGCTGACAGTGTGTCCTTGTTGCCAAGAAGGGTTATGGCATACTGGACTGCATTAGCAGGAGTGATTCCAGCAGAGTGAGGGAAGTGATTCTTCCCCTCTATTTGGCACTGGTGAAGCCACATCTGGAGTACTGTGTCTTGTTTTGCTCCCTCCCCCTCCTTCCCCACTACAGAAAGGATGTAGACAAATTGGAGAGAGCCCAGCGGAGGGCAACAAAAATAGTGAGGGGGCTGGGGGACATGACTTATGAGGAGAGGCTAAGGGAACTGGGTTTATTTAGTCTGGAGAAGAGAAGACTGAGAAGGGATTTAATAGCAGTCTCCAACTACCTGAAGTGGGGTTTGAAAGAGGATGAAGCTAGACTGTTCTCAGTGGTGGCAGATGACAGAACAAGGAACAAAAGTCTCAAGTTGCAGCAAGGGAAGCTTAGGTTGGATATTAGACAGATTTTTTTCCACTAGGAGGGTAGTAAAACACTGGAACAGGTTACCCAGAGAGGCTGTAGAATCTCTGTCCTTGGAGATTTTGGAGGTTTTTAAGACCAATGGCTAGACAAAGCCCTGACTGGGATGATCTAGTTAGGGACAGTCTTGCTTTGAGAAGAGGGTTGGACTAGATGACCTCCTGAGGTCCCTTCCAAAGCTAATTTTCTATTATTTTATTCAGGCAGCATATCCTAAAGAAACAGCATTTGTTCAAATAAAAAACAAATTAAAAAACCATTCATATTTCAACCCAATCTGTTTTGAGGTCCCACTTGCTTTTGCAGATTTCATCAATATATAGTCTAGAAATCTGCCTGAACAGGTTTATATTTAATTCATGGAGCATGAGGATAGAACAGGGAAGGAAGCTGGTTTGGCTATTGAAGATACCACTGCACAGCCCACTCAGCTTTCCCATTTCTGTTCCTCTGACACAAGTGCAGTTCATTCTCTCTCATTTACAGCCTATCCTTGATTCAAGGACATAAATCTTGTCCTTGATTTACACTAGCTCTTCAGGGAATCAAATATCCTATTAGTTTCAAATAATCCATGACCAGTGGCTCCTTGACCACCATGCACACATTTGAGATACATACTCTAAACATTTAATCCAGGCTTTTACCCTGAAAGTTTTAGTCCTACTCCCTACAAGATCTTCACATAGAAAACTTTTTGCCAGAGTTTAGATGTAGTTTCACATGATCATAGATTTATGAGTTAGAGTCTAGCTTTCATTTTTTCTCAGGTTGTAACCCAACTGCTGTGGATGGCAGTTCCTCTGAGGCCATACTTTTCTGCCTTCCACCTACTCTCTTCTGCAATCAAATGACAGAGAGGAAAAAAGGCAAAAGTAGCTGGAAACAATATTTCTGGATTCCCCAAACTATGAATTGGCCAGGGCCTAAACCAACCCACAAGGCAAGTTGGAGCAGCAAGAGACTGCTCTGACTCCCAGCAGTTGGGATAGCTGCCTTGGCATCAAACCACCAGCCCAGATTTGGTCAGTGCCAAGCACTCCAGCTTTGCCTAAGAATTGCACCCAGCTGCTGTCCCCCCCCCCCCACCCCGTGCTATGAAGAAGGAAAAGAAAGCGAGCCAGATAAAGCAGTTTCACATTATTAGACACTTCCATTACAGCAAGGGAATCCCCACCTCCCCTGTAAGGTCCCACTGGTCCCCCAGCATTCAGGAAGTGTTTCCATATATCTTATTCTGAGACTAAAGATAAAGCCTCAGTAGTAGCCATTAGTGTTAGCAAAGAAGTCATGTCCTTAAACTAATTTAGCCAGAGGGAAAATAAATCCCAAGAAAAAATTGGGAACTTTGAATATCTCTGAGTGCTGTTAAGCACCCAGAGAACAGCCCAAATAATGGCTGGCAACAGCAGAAGTGTTGGTGCAAGGAGAGGGAGGCTTGAGACACCAGAAGGAGGAAGAAGATAGGGAATGTGAGTAGCTTTATATTCTTCTATCATAAGCCTCTCTAGAAATTATTTTCCAATAGCCTCGTTCTCAGACATCGGAGAATCATGAAATTCAACCACCTTCCTCCCTTTTACCACATTACACTTTGGCAGAGAACAGCAGCTCACTTGGCAGGCCTGAGTACCAAATGTTCATTTCAGTCTTGTAACAGATGGAAGACATTACACACAGGCTTGTCTGCCCTAGGTACAATCTCTGGAAGCTGAACAACAGAAGGACATCCAGCAAAACCCAATGACCACAAAATTGTTCCACATACAGGGAGAAGGAAAAAAAATCTAGAAACCAGTTACAAAGCATCTTCTTTCATATTCTGGGTCTCTGTATTAGAAAATAATTTATTAGAGCCTGCATTATTTTTAACATTGGTTTTTGTCTCTGCTGTCATTTAAACCTAAATAATTAAAGTTTATCTCAATATACATAGGTATATGTAGATATAATTCCTGTAGTAAGAATTAGTGCAAAAGCCATTTTGCCCAAGATTAAAAAACCATGCAAAAATACTGGGCACCACAGACATTTTCTAAGTTGTAGATGGAAAAAAAAAAAATGCACAGCTTAAATCAAAAGTTATTGGCAGCGATGACTTGCTGATACAAATTTAAGTAATAAGACTACTCAGAGGAGATTTCAATAAATTTGACCAGCATGATACTGCTTTATGAATATCCATGACAGGTTACTCAGTAGCTCTGAGAGAGCACCTGTCAACGTGTAGTAATAATTGGCATGCACATGACCACTGTCAACCAAAAAAAGATGGTGATAGAGTACAACAAAGACTGAAAGAAATACCAAAATAAAAGCTCTGAACAAAAAATGTTTTAGCAAGAATGCTTATAAGAAAACACTGCTTTGTTGTCTCTTAAAAATCTACATTTACTGTAGATGACATTAAACTGAGGTTGACTTGCTAGTTTATTTAGTCTGAGTGAAAGTCCATGACACTTAAAAACATAAGGAATGACTGTAGTTTATTAATTAAAATTTGTTTTCTCATTAAGACAGCTTATAATGTCCAGAGTCATAAACAAGGTATTCCTTGAGAAAAAAGGCAATGGCCATTCTATTTTTCAGTAACATCATTACCTTAGGGGAGTTAATGAAATGCTGTAATTGGACAGAAGAAAGTATGGGCACCTATATAGGTCCCTGCTGTAGAAAGCACTATTTGGACTGCCTTCTGTGGGACAAATACTACACTTTAATTGAAGTTTATTTTATGATAAAAGCTCAGTTCAGGAATTCCTCAGATCCAATTACAGCTCAGCTTCTGACTTGTTGTGTAGTCCTAGGCAAGTAGTCACTTTGTACTTCAGTTTCTGCATCTGTAAAAAGGGAATAAAGATGCTTATCACAGGGCCAGCATAATAATGTGTAAAGTGCTAAACAGTTATCAGTATTAGATTGGAAATGCCCCGCAAACATTGTCTAGGTATTGTCAAACAACATAAATCAGAAACAAAGCCATTCTTATTCTCTGCAAAGTCCATTTACACTCTTCAGAATGGCATTTGGGGAACAGATAATGGGTCTGGGAAGCAGAGGATTGGGAATGGAGGATTGTTTGCTGGCCATCCTCCATTCCATCCACTGACCATCAAGAGCAATAAGTGCAGCCACGGCTAACAGTCTCTAGCCTGCAGTGTTAGTAGCTACTGAGCCTGAGCTGTAGAAGAAAAAATGTTCAACTCTTCATAAAATTGCCCATCTGGGCTCAGAATAAAGAGGATTACCAGATATTTCAATTTACTTACCTTGTGTTTGCCAAAATAAATCCTTTGATTTGCATCAGAAGGTACTAAGTCATTTTAAGCATTATTGTTCCTTACCCGGATCTGTAAGACTCAAATTATCTGGTGGGCAACTGGATATGAAATAGGCCAAAAAGTTCAAAATAAAGCCATCAAGTAGTGAAGAATTTAATTTGATAGTTGACAATATTCATTTTAGTTTTCTTGAGGATGACAATATTATATCTACCATGAATCCTCTAAAGCTAATCGTCTTCAAGAAATACATTTCTTGCTGCCATAGAAACAACCTTAAATGAGCCAACTGGAGATAAAAAGCAAATGTTCACCCTATTGTTATAGCCTGACAAATTAACAGATTATACAGGTGGAACAGATGAGGTAGCAAATAGGAACTGTGAACTGCCATGAGAAAGAGGACATAAGTCTACAGAGATGAATGCTTCCATACTGAACCAAGACCTAACTTGTTCCGTCAGGTGCATTCAGATTTTTCTTAGCGGAAAACAAATAAATTATATATGATTTGGTGGGATACATAATATTAATCTATATCAACAGATTTACTTTCATTTACATTGTCAATTTATATAAAATGCTTGATTCAGACATGAAAGCTTGAATTCAACAAGATAATTCTGTTTTTACTTGTTTTGTAGTTGCAATAAATCAGTACAAATGAGAGGAAAAGCACATCACATCGGCTGTGATCAGCATGATACTTCTACAAAAACAGAATACAAGATAATTTTGCTGTACTGTGATTAGGTTGTTCTTCTCTTCTGCCTTCTCTCTGCCACATGCAGAGCTAGGTATTGAAAGGATTGTGGGCAAGTCATTTTGCACAGCTAACACTGTAAACTCTTCAAGGTAGGGACTGATTATTATTGTGTGTTTATATTGTGCCTAGCAAAATGGGGCCCCAACACATTTGGAGCTTCTCAGTGTTTCAATATAGTAATTATTACAGTAATAACAATGGAATTATTATTTAAGGGTACAAAAGGAACTCAGATGTTTTGTGTAAGAGTCTATCACCTGGCAAGTAGGTATGCTAGGTAAGTGGGGTAGATTGTCATCACATGACTGTGGAGAGGTCAAAAGATGATACAAAACATGGGTGGGCAAAATACAGCCTGTGGGCCAGGTCTGGCCCACAAAGGAACTTTATCCAGCCTGTGGCATGTCCCTCAGCCCTGCCCAGCCCAGGCACAGGGGGCAGCCCAGGCCATGGTGCCACCAGCAGCAGGAGTAAATATTAATTGGGGGGGGGGGGGGATTAGTGAGGTGCGTGCAGTGGTGGTGCTGGGCACGGTGCTGCAGGGGTGAGGCATGGCAGTGGGGCTGGAGCAGTAGCATATGTGGGGTACTGGCCTGGCTGCAAGCTGAGTGGTGCCGGGCACTACGGGATGGCGGCATCATGGTGCTGCTGCTGTCACTGGCTGCTGCGAAATTAGTTTATGGGGGCCATGCCTTGTTAGCCCTAGCCTTCTGCCACCTATGCATGGCACATGCAGTTGGTCCCACCACCCCCAGGCACGCAGCTGGGCTGGGGCAGCACAGCAGCTGGATTTCAGTTCCCAGCAGTCCTGGAGGTGGCAGCTTCTTCTGGCTGCCACTGCCAGTCTCACCATTGCCAGATCCAATCCCGCTGCCTGGGCACCCCAGTCCATCTACCCCACATCCACTGCCAGGAGTGCCAGATAGAGCAGGCAGGAGAGCAGAGTCTCCATGTGGGACCTATGCAGGCAGGGTGCACTCAGCCAAGCAGATGGGATGGGGCCATCTGAGAGTGGGACAGGTAGGTACCACCTCAGGGCCAGGCCTGAGGTCAAAGCCAGGGCCAGGATTACAAGGCAGTGACAGCATGCCCTGGGTTGGGCCCCAGGGCAGAGCCACTTGGGGAGTTCTGGTGACCTAACGCAGGCCAGAGGGTGTGGTGCTGACCTGACCCACAACAGGTTAGTAAAACTACCTAAGTGGCCCTCTAGCCCAAATAACTGCCCCCCTCTGACACAGGAGGACTGAAGAGGAACCGATTGAGCCATGATAACATCACATAGATGAAGGAGAATTTCATAGCTAGAAGCTGTAGCTGGAATTACAAAAAGAGACTGCATGAATTGGCTAAAGAAAATGAATTTTGACAAATAACAACTAGTTGATCATGTTAGGCTCCTATTAAAGAAAGACAAATAGAAATGTCTCGGACAGCCAGGGCCGACTCGAGTTACGCTCGTACGTCAGGGCGGGCTGGTGAATGGAGAGGCAGACACAACTTATTGGTTGCAAAAAGCTTTACTCGCGCCGCTTGCAATCACGACGCAGGTGGTCTGGTCGTCTGAACAACCACACGAGTTGTTCCAGCTG